CTGATCCAGAGATGGGGCCAGGAAGAGGACTATGAGCCATCCAGGAAGACAGTGGTTAAACTTGAAATATCACAATAACAGTGTCACAGTGCTGAGGCGGAGTTCCAAGGAGCATCAAATCTTTCAGAAAGGTAGACTAAGATGATAACTAAGAAAAAAGCTTTTGAATTATATTTGTCTTCTCCCATGAAAAGAAATTCAAATTAATTTGGCTTTGAGAATTTTAAATGCACATATTGTAATAATTGGATATACCCTAGAGCATTGTAAAATCAAGGCTAGAAATCTCTTACCATCTACACTATAAAAACAAGAACCCAATTTTGCAAGCAGAATTTTAAAACTCCTGAGCCCAGGAAAGAAATCAGTCTGCCTGTCAATTTCACTTTAAGTCTTCTTGCTGTCTTCCCCACCCCCATCTTCTTCCTTCCCTTCCCTACCCTTCTCTCTAACATAACCAGAGAAGGGGCCTCACGTACCTGGTTTCTTTTACAAATATTGGGTCATCAGAGAAGTCATAATGCATTTTTGCATAGAAAAACTCGGCGTGACTTTTCTGACAACCCAATAAAATTCCTAGGAGAATCAAGGAAAGAAATAAGACTAGAGAATGAGCATGCAATCGTTTAGGCCCTCTGCCTAATTTCTTTTATTCCCGTCGGATGTCTTAGAGGCCCTCTTTGTGACTGTATAATTAATTCTGTGTTCATTTTGAAAGTAGGGTCAGGGGCCAATGCATGTGATGACTACCTTGACGTCTGTGTCTTTTTATCATACCCATCTGGTTTTTCCTCTCTACCAATCAAAACAGTCTCCACATGTATTTACTTTTAAGTGTTAAAAACCCTCCCACCTCCCAGCATGATATGACTCGTTTCTTTTGTCCACTGTGTGGGTGCCATAGATCTGCAGCATATAATTGAGGGTCTTGGACATAGTGGGGGTATCTGGAGGTCACTGTTTAGTGAATGGGCTCTTTATTAAGTCAATATTTGACCAAGCCTTTTGAAAATACTAATAATTATGTTTATGGGAGTCCTGAGATTAGAGAAAGGGAAAAATTTGAAAGCTTACTATTCTTGCTCCAAACCATAAGTGAATGGCCAGAGTTAATCTTCCTTTCATCTGGAATATAGATTTATTACATCTGGTGAGTCTGGTTAGTGGTTTAGATTCCTTCGGTTTTTACTGCACTCAGGTTCCTATTATGCAATCATCTTTGCTAAACCCAATGTATACAGCCCTGGACCCTAGAGCATAACATGATGCCAAACCCTTTTCCAAATGTGTTTCCTACTAAAGCAAACCAGATTGGGAGACATTTCCAATTGCAAATATATACTTTTTTTTTTTCCCAAAAAAAATCCCTAGTCCAACAGAGATCTCCCTCCCACCCCAGATTCCCCAGATCACATTTTACACTCTGCTTCATTATCTCAATTGTGAAAGTTCCCACACACTCATGGGAAAGTGATTGTGGTGGGTGGTGCCCTTCTGGAG